TTGGCCAGGGGCTGGCCTTGGCAGTGCTTGGCAAGGAGCTGCTGTTGCTGGATCTTGGGCAGGTGGCTGGTGATGTGGTGAGTTGCCTTCTTCCTGACAAAAAAAAAATTAAAAAATAAAAAAAAGGTGTTTGGATGATGGATTGCAATCAAGATCATGTCCCAAGAAAGGATGGTCCCCAAAAAAGGATGATGGAGCAGAAGGTTGGATAGATAAATCATAATTTACTGCGGGGCAGAAGAATAAAACACCTGTGCTCAGAAGAATAAAACAATTCAAGAAAACGGTTATATGTCATCGGGGGTGTAGCTCAGATGGTAGAGCGCTCGCTTAGCATGCGAGAGGTAAAGGGATCGATACCCTTCTCCTCCAATTCTTTTGCCTGTGTTGCTTTACTTTCTGCAAAAGTAAGAACTCCATCAGTGCAACTGACTGACACAACCAGGGTCATGAGGTTGAAAGTCACTGCACCCTGCAGGGTGGACCGGGCTATGGAAATGGTAAGACTTCTGGTTGGGTCTTCTTGTTCCACAACCACCAACATAAGTGCAAGGCGGACAGAGAGCAAAAAGCAGATCTCCCCCGCCGGGATTTGAACCCGGGTCGTCCGCGTGACAGGCGGAAATGCTAGCCAACTACACCACAGGGGATTTCTCACTTCTGACACTTGGCCCTAGAGATTTAGGTAATGCTAAGAAAGTTAAGAACATATCCTGTTCACTAAAACCACTAAAGATGGATATGAGCACAAGGTTTTGTTATTTTGCAAGGTGTTCACACAAATGAAGAGTCCACAACTGCATGGGACGAGGGCGTGACCTTCTTCGCCAAGCGGGCAGGCCACACCGAGTTACTCCAGTGGGCGCTAGGCAATGGCTGCCCTTCGTGTGAGTGACGCCAGCTGTTTTTAAGTGGCACGATTTCGACTACCGGCGCCAAATATCTCAACCCCTTGTGCATGAGGGACGGATGGCCGAGCGGTCTAAGGCGACAGTTTAAGGCACTGTTATCTTCGGATGCGTGGGTTCAAATCCCACTCCGTTCACTCCTTCTTTTTTTGTCGCATTCTAATTCTCTTCTTTATTGTCACCAAGAGCCATTGCCCTGCTGAGATCATGATGGCTCATGGGCTGATGGCCGCTAGGACACGATCTTGTAGGCGCCGTAGATGGGAAGTCCGATGGCCAAGGTCGGGATGCCCACGGCTGGTGAGGGGCGCGGTGGGAGACGTGAGAAATCAGGCATCAGACTTGATAAATCGTCGCTGCAGGAATGGAGCTGGGGGAGCGCACCAAGAGCGATGGGCGTGACCACCACCACGCCGGCAGTGACGCCGACCGCGATGCCGGCGTAGGCCCCGATCTGGCCGGTCTTCTTGATGCCCCGAAGGAGGCGCGACGCGGGCTTGAATTGGAGGCCGGCGCACCTGCCCTCCGAGTAGTGCACCGGGGTGTAGGTCTCCATGCAGATCCAGCAAAATTGATCTGCGCCCGTGGGGGGGGGAAAGATCGATCGAAACAAAGCGGTGTGAGCAGCTGACTATGATCATAGAGTCACGAGCCAAGCCCCCCCTCCCTGGAGGCCTCCGGGCAAAGAAAATGACGTACGTTGACAGCCCTTGCACGTGTGTTGAGCCGAACGTTGGAAATGAACAAAGAACAAGTCAACACCAACAACAACGACGACGACGACGACAACGACAAGCAAGAGCATTGGGGGGGGGCGCTATCATGTGATTGCATCTGTGTTGGTTGTGTGTCGTGTGTAGTGGAGAGAGGTTAGTCTGGGGGCACGGAGGTGTGTCGGTGCGATCACACAAAATCGTGGGGGGGAGGGTTGCGCGCACCCTTCGTTCTTCTGGATGGGCGTCAGGCATTGC